AGCTCACCTGCTCTTAGACAGCCCTGTTTGTTTGTGCAAGGTATTTGCAGCCGGGGGCACCTGCTTTGATACCATCAGCTCCGTGAAGGAAGCTGCTCACCTAGCGTGACCCCTGTAATCCCATCCTTCCCCATTAAGCGCTGTGTGTGAGCGCATCCCCCCTCCCAGCCTCCTGCCATCTCAGCATTTATCTCCCTCTCCCCAAGCTGAGCACATCAAGGCTGTGGCATTGCTGGGGAGGGGGAAGCAAACCTCCCCAAGTGACTCAGAAAGGGTCCTGGCAATGCCAACACCCCCCAGCCCCTCCATTGCCCCCTCTGGGATTTGGATGTTCCCCCTCCCCTGGCATCGCCCTGCAGCAGTGCTGGGAACCAGGCAGCACTTGTGGCGAGGCTTTGGGGATGGGCTGGTCCTGCAGCGGGGTGGACAAGCTTGGTCTCCTCAAGCCTCCTGCCACCAACACCATGTCCCCCATGGTGCCACCTTTGCCCCCTGGCAGGACTGTCCCTCCTGCCACAGCCCCTTGTCCCAGCTACCTAGACACCCCTAAGGAAACCAGCACCCTGAAACTGTCTCCTTCTACCCTTTAAGAGGCCAAATGTTCCTTCTCAGCCAGCACTGCCTCTCCCACCCTGTGTGAAGCAGCCATACGACCCTGCCAGGGCCGAGCTGTGCCCACTCCCTCCCCTCATCGGCCCCCACCAGGCTCCAAGCCAGCTGCCTCCCCCAGCCTACCCTTCCAGGAGCACCTTGTTAAAAATGATCTACTGGCTCTTATCTCCCCTAAGCCAAGCTGCTCCTCGGTGGAGAGCAAGGAGGACCAAGGCCCGGCAGACAAATTAGCCCTGACCCCTTCCAAGCACACACAGCCAAGATCTATGAGGTCCTGCACATGCCAGTCCTGGCAGGGGCTGGGCACCATTCTGGCACCGGCACAGCCACAGCTCCGTTCACCACCCCAAACTCCTCTCCTGCACCATCAGCACAGGGCACCGGGGCGCTGTGCCCTGCCAGTGCCTCTCAAACACGCATCCAGCTCTCAGGGAGGATGCTCCTGCATCTCTTCACTCAGCAAGGCTGCTGAATCACCTCACTTCCTACAAACCTCCCCGGGGCAATGAAATTTGCAGGGGGATCTCACAGTGCTTGTGGGCACAGGCACAGACCACTGGCCCCGGGCACCCTATTGCCCTGGGATGGCAGGAGGAACGATACTTCCCCAGGGACACGACCTCTCCCAGCCGGCACCCATCCTCCCGGTAGGGCCAGACCCAAGCACGCCGCTCCACGCCTGCTCCTCCCGGAGCAGGAGCAGAGTGCTAGATGCCCTTTGCATCCCAGGGGCTGTCCAGACCCAGGGAGCGTGGCCACGCCCTGGTGCGAGACCCCAGCGGGCCTGGCAGGGACAGGCAGCCGGGCAGGGAGAGGCAAGGAGAGAGGCCAGGAGCTGGCCGGACCCTGGT